GAGAGAGAGAGACACATCGACTGGTTGCTACCCACACCACCCCAACCGGGGCCATGGACAAACTACAACCGAGGTACGCCGCCCTAAGCGGGAACCGAACCCGGGACTCTGTGGACTGTGGGCCGACGCTCTAACCGCTGAGCCAAACCGGTCAGGGCTCTCATGAAGTTTTAAAAAATAAGAAAAAAAGTAAGTGAGCCCTGGCCAGTTTGTTTCAGTGGTTAGAGCATCGGCCTGCGGTCCAGAGAGACCCAGGTTCAGTTCCCGCTGAGGGCATGTACTTCAGTTGCAGTTTGTCCCCAGCCCTGGTTGGGTCATGCGGGTGGCGGCTACTCGATGTGTACCTTTCGTCGATGTTTCTCTCCCTTTCTTCTTCTCTCTCCCTCCCACTCTATCTAAAAAAATGAGAAAGTGTCCTCGGGTGAGGATAAAAAAAAAAAGTAAGTGAAATTAATTTTAATAATATATTATTTTCTTTAACTCAATATAGCTAAATTATTATTTCAACTAGTAGTCAATGCTTGGAAATTTTTACTTTTTCTCAATACCAAGTCTAATCCAGTATGTATTTTACACTTAAAGCACATCTCTCCTTAGATTAGCCCTGTTTCAAGTTCTCAATAGCCACATGAGACTAGTGGTTGACAATGGACAGCACAGGTTTGCAAACAGTTATATTAGTTTCTTTCCTGGAAACTACCACAATAAGTTACCACAAAGTAGGTAACTTGAAACAACAGAAATATATTCTCTCACAGTTACGGTGGCTAGAAGTCCTAAAACCAGTGTCATCAGGGTTGACCCCTAGTGGAGGCTGTTAAAGAGAATCTATTCCATACTCTTCTAGCTTCTACTGACTGCTGGCAGTCTTTGGTGTTCCTTAGTTTATAAATTTATCACTCCAGTCTCTGCCTCCATACTCACATGGTGTTCTTCTACCCATCTCTGTCTTCACATGACTTTCTCTGTTTCTATGTCCAAATCGCCCTCTTCTTATAAGGATATCAGTCTTTGGATTAGGGCCCATTCTAATCTAGTATAACCTCATTCTAAACTTGATCTGCAAAGATCCTATTCCAAATAAGTTCACAATATGAGGTTCCAAGTCGGCGTGAGTTTTTGGGGAAGCACTGTTCAACCCAGTACAGTTGCTAAATTAAATGGAAGATGCACACTGAACGTAGTAAATATGATTTCATGGGTCACTGAGGTATAGTGGACTAAAACTCCAGTTTGGAATATAGTGTTGATAGATAGTGTAGCATATTTTTACACTTTTAGTCCTTCCCCCACTCCACAAAAAAATTGTAATGTGGTGAGATTAGAACTATGTCAGAGACAGTAAGTTGTCACACTGGTGACCATTTGGGTGAACTCAAAGGAGAGATGAAGAAGAGTTGTTCTTTGGGGGAAATTGTGTCCCCTGTGCTGGCCATAAAACTGGTACAGAGGCAAAAATGTACAGTACTGGTGTGCTCACATGTGCTAATGGTCTGACACTTAAAAAAAATAAAATAATTTTTTTAATTAGTTGACAACACTCATCATCATCTCTGAGAGGATAGAGAGGAAACAGGTGGGAGAACTATTGCTTTAAAATCATTCCAAAATGATAGAATTGATAGGTTAAGTGAAAGCAATTGAGATCCTAGAAGAAAATGAGTTAGTGAGCCAAGTATAAGAAACCTGAACTTAGATGTTTCTAGATTAGAAAGTATCAAAAGATAAGAAGATATTCTTGAGAATGTGACAGAGTCTGTGACTCAAAAGTATAAGGAAACCGATGAATTTAACTTTATGATGCTAAAGAGACAATGGGAAGACCCAGTGGATCTCCTGCTGAAAGCTTTCTGATGACTCACTCCTTCAGAGGGCATTTTCAAAAGATGGAAAGTAAGGGTATGCAAGCAAGGATGAATATGTGTAAGAATCCAAGTTGGGGGATTAGAACAAAATAAGCTGAGAGTTGCAAAAAAGTAAGCAAATTAAAAAGAGCCTTTAGAGTTTGGTTTGGTGACTGGGAAAGGAAATGATTTGGACTATTATATAATGGTAATTGATTATGTGGAAATAAAATTTTTACTGCTTTTGTTGTCTCTATCACGAACAAGAATGTTCGACCAAAAGGGTTAAGATTCCTTAAATTAGGGAATGTAAATTCTACAGCAGAGAAAGAATTTGTGAAAAGAATTGCAGAACCCTATCTGTGATCTTGGAAGAATGCCAGGGGTCTTCAGGGAGTGTTTAATGACAACCTCTCTTTGCTGCCCAAATCCTAAATTTTAACACAGAAGAAGGTACATGGGGGCCAAAATATCCCTTTTACTACTGTGAAAGCTGATACTGAAGAATGTGAGCTTTCTAATACTGAATTCCAGCCTTAACCCTCAGTAACTGGAACAGGGCAGTTCTCCTTGTAGACTTGCTAACAGGAAAGGGAAAGAGGCCTGGAGTGTTGTGATTGTGATAAATGTGGGTGCCCCTCTGTGGAGACTCAGCTCAGAAATGGGAAAGACCCACCTCTGCCCTACAAGTAAATGAAAAAAGGAGGGGAAAGTTTAAAACAATTTTTGAAAGAATAAGGAAAGTTGCTTAAAGACCTTATGCCAATTCCAGGCAGGATTCTGGACTAGATTATAAGATGGATTTTGAGCACCTGTAAATAGGAATCAAGAATCATAGCTTGCTGCCCTGGCCGGTTTGGTTCAGCGTTTGGAACGTCAGCCTGCGGACCAGAGAGTCCAGGGTTTGGTTCCCACTAGGGGCACATACCAAAAGAAAACAAAACAAAACAAAAGAATCAGAGCTTGCTGCCCTGGCTGGTTTGGCTCAGCGGTTAGAGCATCAGCCTGTGGACCAGAGAGTCCCAGGGCTTCAGTTCCCACTAGGAGCACGTGCCTCGGTTGCGGTTTGTTCCTGGCCCCAGTTGGGGTCGGTGGGTGGCGACCACTTGATGTGTCTCTTTCACATTGATGTGTGTGTGTCTCCCCCCCACACCCCCGCTCTGTCTGAAGATAAATGCAAAAAATGTCCTCGGGTGAGAATTTAAAAAAATTTTGGGGGGGATTATAAGAACAATACAGTTGTATCTCTGTTTTGACAAGCCATTTGGCAAGCTATCTCTTTGTTTTAGACAAGATGGGAAAATATAGGCTAAATGCTGAAACAGTTGTGTGAATCAGTAAGTGATTGACTATTCCCAGGCTGATCAGTTTCAGGTTGGAAGGGAGTTTTTAGTGGCATGGTACTAGATTATCCTCAGCTCTGTCAAGTTCAACATTCTCTTCAATGACTGGATCGGGGAAAGACTAGGAATAAGTAGAATAAAAGAATTTGATGGAGTGACTGTTAATAAGTTCAAATATAATATTCACTTAATAGGTATTTTTCAAGCATCTACTGTGTGCCGTGCACATAAAGATAAATGTAAGGTTCTAAGATAAAAGCATAAATTAGTAAAATTTTAAAACCCAGCTGCTTAAATACTACATAGGGGAGCAAAACATATTTTAAAATATTGTAGATTTTATTTTTAGTTTTTAAATATTGTAGATTTTAATTGACAATAAGTTTAGTGTGTGAATTGGCAGTTATGATGCAGTCATCAGAGAAACTGAGCTCTTAGGCATTGTTAATAAAAGCATAGCTTTTAATAGAAGGGTTAGTTATGGCCAGGTCTACTCAGTACTAGACTATTCTAGGAAAGATAGCTTTCTCCTCTGGACTCTACATTGAGATATTTAATGAGATACAGGTGAAAACGCTGATCATACTTAGCCCAAAGATGAGATGCAAGAGAGCTGTAGTCATTGTCTCTAGACATTTGGAAAACCATCCTGTGGAATAAGAACATTTATGGGGTCCATTTCTAAAGATTTGATGTGGATTAACTGATAAAATTCTCAATCACAGAAGTCAATATTATTATTCCAATTTTGGAGATAGGAAAATGGAGCTCAGAAAGGTTAAATGAATAACTTGCCCTGAGTCACACACCTAAGAAATGGCAGACCCATGCAGTCTACCTCTAGACCTAAAATCTTAACCAGTGTGCTACTTGCCACTCATGGAAGAGGGATTAATTTTGTTGTCCTTGGCATCAGCTGATTCAATAGGTTCAATGAAAGAAAGGGTAGAGAAACTCAATGCAGGTCAGATAAAGCATCTTAAAAAAAATTTTAAATGTTTTTATTGATTTTTGTGTGTGTGTGAGAGAGGAAGGGGGAGAGAGAGAGAGAGAGAGAGAGAGAGAGAGAGAGAGAAACTTCGATGTTAGAGAGAAACATTGATTGGATGCTGCTTGCACACCCCCTACTGGGATTGAGCCTGTAACCCGGCCATGTGCCCTGATCAGGAATCGAACCAGAACCTCTCAGTCCATGGGACGATGCTCAATCCACTGAGCCACACCAGCCGAGCAGTTAAAAACATCTTAAACAAGCAGTCCAAACATGGAGGGAGTCCTGTCTCTTATGGTGCCTGCAGCCTATCCTACCTAGCTCACTCCTGAAAACCACAGGTGAAGAATCAGCTGAGCCATTTGACCTTCTAGGCAACTCTGAGTAGTATGAGAAATTATAAGTTGAAACTCAGTGTCTCTTGTGTATAAGTTGATATATTTATTTGTATAGCAGAAATACATTCTTCTAAGCATTTATTTAATAGCTTTATGCAGTTTGATATATTTTGTTTTATGGCACATTTTGAGTAATAATTTCTCAAACGTTATATTGTCTTACAGATGTTTTCCTGATTGTAAAACATCATTTTTGTTGCAGAAGAATTGGAAAGTCTAAGAAAAGAATTTTAAAGCCAATACAATATCCCCAGAGATAACCATTGTTAACACTTTGGTGTATTTTTCCCAGTCATTCAATATTTTTTTCATAAATATTTTTTAAGGAAAAAAATGACTCTTGCTTTAGATCTATTAAGATTCTTTTTACACAAAAGTAATTTATTTTGGTAACTTCTGGCAGTTCTTTTTTTTTTTTGGCTAGGTGTCTGCCTCAATGCTCAAGCAGTTTCCCAACAGTGGCCTGAATCCAGGTCTTTTCAATGTGGGGCCCCAGTTATCTCCTCAACAAATTGCCATGCTGAGCCAGCTTCCACAGATTCCCCAGTTTCAGTTGGTAAGTAGCAGATTTTCCTCCTGTAACTGAAAAGATTATGTGTTTTTCCCTTTTCTTTTAACTTGATATGCTTCATTTTGTGTGTGCTCCACTCGGGGTAAATATGACCAGTAGACCAAAAACTTGGTGGTACTTTCCTCATGGACACTTGACTCAATGACTGTCCTTCAGTACACAGACCCTTTCAATGTCCTCAGTGAGTCCATCGTAGGAAACTTAGGTCCTCTCTCTTTCTTCCTCCTAGGCATGTCAGCTTCTCTTGCAGCAGCAGCAGCAGCAGCAGTTGTTACAGAACCAGAGAAAGCTTTCTCAAGCTGTGCGCCAGCAGCAAGAGCAGCAGGTACATGGGATTGGAAGGCTTCCTCTAGTGCTCTTTGTGAGGAGTGCATTTCTGTTTAACCTTTTCGATAGCAAAGTTCAGGACGTTGGCTTATCGTGTGTCTGTCTTCCCTTGGGCCTTCTTGCTCTGGACTGCCTACCTCCAGCTGGCTCGAATGGTGAGTGCACTCCAGCAGCAGCAGCAGCAGCAGAGGCAACCTAGCATGAAGCATTCGCCATCTCATCCTGTTGGGCCCAAGCCACATTTGGACAACATGGTACCCAACACTCTGAATGTGGGGCTCCCAGACCTTCAAACCAAAGGGCCAATACCTGGATATGGTTCCGGTGAGTTGTTTGTAATAAAAACTACCTTTTTTAAAGCCTATGTTCGGGGTTGGACCTACATTACCCTCTGTTTTCACAACAGCCATACAAAGTCTAGATAGTCATCCCTGTCTTACAGATGAGGTATCTGAGTTATCAATATCCAAGAGTTCCAACGGTTTTCAGAAGCTTACCACACAATTAGTAAAAAGCAGAGACAGGGCTCCAACTTCTGACCACAAAGCAATCTTTTATACCTATGAATGGCAATCTGCTCCCCAGTAGGAATTATTAAAAGCAGGTTTAAATATTTGTACATACTGTGAGAGTGCTGCATGTGCCTAAGGTTATAATCTATTAAAATATATTACAAGTTGAGGTGCTTAACTCGACTGATAAAGTTACCTTCTCTTGAAAAAATGGAGAACTAAAATTAAAATTATAAGGCAAACTGATAAAATTCTTCTGGTATTTGTATTTCATCTGATTTAAATAGAATTAGCACAAGAAAGGTTACACCTTTGACATTCATAAAGAATTTGTTGGCAGGCAAGTTGTAGCGCTTTCTGAACTGGGGAACATGTTGTAAGCAGAATCCAATCAGTGAGGCAACAGTGATTTAAAAATAAAATTTTAAAAATTAAAAAGGTACCACACAGCAGGTCTCTTCTCAGATTCACATTTAGATTTTATTTTGGTAAAGAAGGTCCTCTCCTGTGCAAACTCAAAAATAAGAGAGAGACCTGAAATCCATGCTCCTAGGTGACAAAGTGACCCTGGACAAATGACCCTACTCTCTGTGTTCTAGTTCTGTGAGGTACCGACTCCTTACTGGGGTGTCCACATGCAGAAAAGAGCAGAGACTTCAAGGACTCCTTGATCCTGGATACTAAAAATAGGCATAGAGTAACATGAATTTGGTCTCATTTTAGTAATAAGTCATAGTCATTCATAGTAGCTGAACTAATTGGGAAATAGTCACTTATCATAATAGAAAATGCATTTCCAATAAAATCTTACTTTTTAAATGTATCAAAATTTATAATAGTTCTGTGTGATATACCCAGTGAAAAGTAGAGTTATGAATATTATAGATTGTATACCCAGTGATTATTAAAATAGCAGGAGAGTAATTTGTATCTATCCTGGGATTATGAATGTGGCAATATCATGTACATGTAGGTATGAATTAGAACCATTGGGCTAAATGGGCAGCAGTGGGTGATTTGTTTCTCTTATAATTTATTGTTTAATACAAAAGCAGTAGTTTTGTTTTTGTTTTAAATATGTTTTTATTGATTTTCTTTAGAGAGAGAGGAAGGGAGGGAGAGATGGAAACATCGATGTGAGAGAGAGAAATATCAATCGGCTGCCCCCTTCATACCCCTTTCTGGGGGTGGAGCCCAAAACCTGGGCCTGTGCCATGACCGGGAATTGAACTGGGACTTCTTAGTCCATGGGACAGCGCTCAATCCACTGAGCCACACCGGCCAGGTAGTAGTTTGTTTTTTAATCTACCGCAAAAGGAGTAGCAGAAAATAGAGAACTACAGACAAAGGGAGTGAAGGAGTGATCACTTGAGAGTTTCCTCCAGATGGTAAGCACTGAACCAAGTGGTAGTGATAAACAGATGATGAATTAGGGTTTGTGGAAGCAGGAGAAAGGACAGATAAGATACACAAAGGATTGTTTTTGTAAGAATGATAAGATAGATAAAAGGGATATCCTGGTGAAATGAGTCTTTAGGAAAGCATGGGGCATGTCTTGTCTCTGTACCTCAGCTGCTAACACAGAACTTGGCACAAATTAGGCTCTTCTTAAATGTTCATTAAATTGAACTAAATAGGTTGTTTGATTTGAATTAAAGTGTTGGTGAGCTGGAGAATTACAGGTAGTCTACTTGGTGGATGAAGCAAGTTTGGTTTTAATGAGCAAGTATAATGAAGTCAGTGTTTTCCTGGGTTTTGAGGCACGATAGCTCATAAATAGCCTAAAGGTTGAAAGTAGTATGTACCTCTGCTTTCTGTTAATGTAGCCACTGGAGCACAGCTCCAGAACCCCTTCCCTCCAGACTTGTTGAATGCATTCTGTATCCTAACATTGTGCCTGTTGCTATGTGACATTGAGAAAAACAGAGTTATGTATAACCTTGCACTGATTTTTTTCCCCCCTCTCATGGTTTTGGGTTTGTAGGGTGAAACTTTCAAGACAATTATATCTTCTGTTCTTCCTCTCACCCCATTGATTTTTTTTCCTTAGCAAAACTTGTTATTTAGTTATGATGCTGCCATATTTTAGTGGCATTTGATCCTCAAGTTTCTAATGAGAACAGTGCCCACTTTGCTTAAGGTTTGTTTAGATGGTCTCCTCAGACTCTCCCCTCTTCTAAGATTTAAAACTCATTAATTTTCTACACTTCATGTGTCACAAAAGAACTCTAAACAGCTGAAATTTAATATATTTAATTCACCATGAATTTTAGAGACATTTTAGAGCAACTTTAAGTAAAATTAACATGCAAGGAATGGTTCCTTATCCTCTTACTAATCCCTACATTCTTGTTTTTAATCTTCACCAGAATCCTGGGTTATTTTCAAAAGCTCTTTCTCAGTGACTGGAACCAGCTTTCAGATGGCCTGGAATCCAAGCACCTTGGGCTGGTTTTCTCTGTCAAAGGTAGAGGTGTAATTTGCCCAAGGAGCAACAAACTTAGGCCATTAAAGCTTGTGTCAGAGAAAGCCCTTGTTCTTTTCAACTTCCCTGCCCTCCAATCATTTCAACTCAGCTACATGGGACAAAAGAAGAAAATATCTTAAACCTTTTTTTTTTAAAAAGTGTTTAATTTGAAATATTTCCAGTTCATACCAAGTATTTCTGGTCTCCACCCTTCAAATACTTGGACTAGTGATGTCAGTTACAAACAGTGTGAAGGAACAGAGTTCTTTATATTTATAGCAACATTTTCAACTTGATTTATTATGCATTTGTAAAACTGTATCTGACAACTAGGAGAAGCACAGGGGAGAAAAACATGACCTGGACCCACAGTGGGATTTGGATAAATGGTAATTAGGGGCCAGTAAAACACCAGCAGATGGTAGGAGGTAAAATGGATACAACATGGAGTCTGCTTTGGCCAGAGCTACACATTCTAGAATAAGAATAGATTGGCTTTTGGCTCCTTTAGGCTACCTGAGCTTTAGCATGGTGGGAAACCCTGATCATCTATCTGGGTTGCTATACCTACTATGGCTCTTAAAGGTCTTTCTGGTTATTCATTATTCTTCCCCTTCCCTGTTTCATTTCTTTATTTTAGTCCTTTATTTTACTTTTCATGAAAGTTGGTTTGAAAAAAATATTAAGTACATTCTGATCCAAAATAGATGATGTACCTTGTAAGAATCCATCAATGAACCTGTCACTTTGTCTTTCACCTGTCCAGCCCTGTGCAGTGGGAAAACATTATCCACCAAAACTCTTGTGAGAAGCCTGTCACTTAAGGCTTACCTGGGGGCTCATGGCAAAGTAAATTCTGAACTTCTTACTACAATCTATTCAAGCTTTGAGGTCTTTATCACTGCATAAAAGCTTCTTTCAAATTGATCTCTCAGATTCTGTCCTAACTTTCATCTACCCTGTTTTCACATTGCCAATTCTCTTCCTTCCTTTTTTTTTTTTTATCCTTACCAAAGGACACTTTTCCACTTTTTGTTCAGATAGAGTAGGAGGGAGAGAGAGAGAGAGAAACATCGACATGAAAGGGACACATCAAGTGGCTGCCACCTACACAACCCAACCAGGGCCAGAGAAAAACTGCAACCGTGGTACATGCCCTTAGCGAGAACCGAACCTGGGTCTCTCCGGACCACAGGCTGATGCTCTAACCACTGAGCCAAACTGGCCAGGGCACCAATTCTTCTTCAGAAATACAAACCAAGTTATCTCTCTCTCACCTGCTTCAAGTTTTCCTTTTTTTTTTTTTATCCTCACCCGAGGACACTTTTTGATACTTTGTTCAGATAGAGTGGGAGGGAAAGAGAGAGAGAGAGAGGGGGGAAACATCGACGTGAAAGGGACACATCGAGTGGTCACCACCCACATGACCCAACCAGGGCTGGAGACAAACTGCAACCAAGATACGTGCTCTTAGCAGGAACCGAACCCGGGTCTCTCCAGACTGCAGTCCAACGCTCCAACCGCTGAGCCAAACCAGCCAGGGCTCAAGTTTTTTTTATTTTCTGTCTTAGAGGGAAAAAAGTCCAAACTTTTTTTTTTTAATTGACTTTATTTTTCATTGACTTTTTTTGAGAAAGAGGAAGCAAAAGATAGAAACATCAGTGTGAGGGAGGAACATCGATCAACTGCCTCCTACATGCCCCCCGCCCCACTGGGGATCAAGCCCACAACCCAGGCATGTGTTCTGACCGGGAATCAAACCGGGACCTCTCAGTCCATGGGATGACACTGAGTCCACTGAGCCACTCCAGCTAGGCAAAAGTTCAAACTTCTTTACCTGATATATAAAGACCCTGCATGAGCCCTGGCCGGTTTTGCTCAGCGGTTAGAGCATCAGCCTGTGGATCCAAGGGTCTCAGGTTCAATTCCCTTTCAAGGGCATGCTATGCAGGTTCAGTCCCCGCCCTGGTAGGGGTCAGGAGGCAGCCAATCAATGTCTCTCTCTCTCTCATATCCATATTTCTTTCTCTCTCCCTCAATCTCTCTCTCTCTCTCTTCCTCTCCCTCCCTCCCTCTCTTTCTTCTTCCCTCCATCCTTCCACTCTTTGTAAAAAAAATCAATGGAAAATATCCTTGGGTGAGGATTAACCAAAATAAATAAATAAATACGTTACATGACATGACTGACCCTTCATTTCTCCCCCATCTCTGCCACTCTGCCTCACTTCATCCATAGTTAGCCAGTCATTGGAATCATGTTGGACTCTTTTCATTCCTTAAATGTCGTGAGTTAGAGCCATGTACCTGGTTTCCTTGACTTACTTGCATACCTACCCTAGGTCCTAGATCAAATTTTCCTTCTGCAAAGCCTCTCCTCCCCTAGTACCCTTATCACAACCTCACAGCAGCTTTTATTCCGTATTAGTTTGATGTGTGAACATCTTCATCTCAGTTGGAGAATCATTCTGGCCCCAACATTCTATCTGACTCAAATGTCAGCTAAATTAATGTGAGTGAAATGGTCTTAATTACATGGCAGGCATACATTTTCATACCTTAACAGAACCATTATGTTTTTAGCAAGCAAAAGCCAAGATCAGTATTTTGAAATGAAAATATCTGTTTCTGAGTGAAACTCCTTATGAATTAGTCTTGAAGTTACAAATGAAGCTATTCATGGGTTCTGCTTCAGAACTCTTGTTACTGATACTAGAAATTTATAGAAAGACATAAAATGTGGTTCTCTGTTTTAGGCTTCAGCTCTGGCGGCATAGACTATGGCATGGTTGGTGGGAAGGAGGCTGGAACAGAGTCTCGCTTTAAACAGTGGACCTCCATGATGGAGGGACTGCCCTCTGTAGCCACACAGGAAGCCAATATGCACAAAAATGGTAAGAGCAAGCAAAGCATTATGAGTTGGAGCTCTTCTGATCGTCAGCAGGCCTTGATGAAGTGTCCTGTAAAATTATTTTACAACACAGGATTTTAGCTTTGTCTTAGCAAGCCTTTTGGTTTTTTTCTCCCAAAATCTTATAGTCACCTATGGAGGAAAATTATGTGTATTTCAAATTATAAGAAACTTAAAATGCTACTTCTAATTATAGGGAGCAAAATTTCTCTCCTGCTGCGTGATGGAATTGAAGGTAGTAGAAGTGAACTTAAGTACCCATTAGGGTAAAACCCTAATGAATTGGCTGAGAGAACAGAATCGGTTTTTTTTTTAGGTGCAAAAGATCACAACAAATATCTATCATATTGATTTTGAACCTTTCAGTCTCCAAGAAATGACTAACAGATAAATACATGAGATTTGAACTTCCCACAAAGCTTTCTTGTTCTTTATGAATTACAGGGTCTACTGGACAGCAATTGAGGGCATTTCAGGCTTTGGCTATAAGTATGGGGCAGCCCTTCATCTCCATAATTCTCTGTAGGAGCTTCTCCATTTCCCTGTAAGACAGATAAAAGGTCTTGGAGTCTTCCTTCAGCTTTGTTTCTTTCACCTGACAGTAATTCACTTGGACTCCACTCTCTATGAGAACCAAGCATAAATAGGTGTGGGACTGCTCCTGCAGTCTGAAGCCTTCCAGGATTCCTTTATAAGACGCTCTTTTTTTTTTTTTTTGAAGGAGGGAGAGATGGAAACATTGATGAGATAAAACATTGATTGGCTGCCTCCTGCATGCTCCTCACTGGGGATTTGGCCCATATCCTGGGCATATGCCCTGACCAGGAATCAAACTGGCGACCTCTTGGTGCATAGGTCGACGTTCAATCACTGAGCCATACCAGCCAGGCCACAAGACTCTTAAAAATGTATCCATCCAGAGGCTGTTGAAGTGGCCACTTGGAGCTCTCTGCCTGCTTTCTGCCTTCTGTGGCACAAAATCAAGAACAATGTGTAGAAACTATAAGATCTGTTTCTGAACTTAGTGACCCAAGCCCAACATCTGCAGCTTCAGGCACTTCCCTGCTTCTTTCCCCAAAGACATGATAGGTGCGTGACAGTACATTCAAAATGCCATGTGAGAGGGTAGCTCGAAGATAAAATAGCCACTTGCTTTTTTAGAACTTAACAGATAATATTTTTTCCCATTTCCTAAGCAATCTCCAAGGGAATCCAGCTTTTCATGTTCTGCTACTTCACTGTAATCAAATTTCTTCACTTGAATCAAATTTCTTTTAGAGGTTCCAGAAAGTCAGTGACTTCTTAGCTGAGTATGGAGATAGATTTGATAATACTCCTGCTAGGCCAAACCAAACAGATTATTTTAATCAATATTTATACAAATATTTTAATACATTGCCTTAGAACTAATTTTATGAGTTCGTAAATAGGATCCTAAGAATAGATCAATTGACAGACATGACAACAGCATGTAAAATTTGTTTGAGAAATAGGTAGAATGGTTTCTCACAGAAGCTGAAAATTTTATTTCAAGTAAAGCTCATTTTTGTTAGTTTAAGGGAATTTTAAGCTTTTAATTTTTTTTCCTGCCTCGTGGCATATAAAATGTATGAAGCGGGCACTGACTAAACCACTGAAATGCTCTCAGGAAAGTAGTTACAAAGGATTTGCTGTTCTTCATGTGTGGGGCAATGGATCTCAGAGCTGCAGAGTTCACTGCTGGTCTTGTGCTGGCAAAGACCTTAGGCAGGAATTCCATCTCACTGCTTTGGAATTTAAAGCAATTACAGATGCTTTTCTCTCCAGGGGACTTCCCTACATTAATATTGCTTCTTCCAGTGAAGTTAGGCCTGATCAACACTGAAGAACTTGGGTGGGTAGTATCAGTACAAATGTAGTTAAAAACTTTATATGCTGTAAATTATTTAATGTTTTTATTATTTCTCACACTCAAGTTATTCGTGTAGAAACTGTAGGGATAATGGCATGATTTGTAGTTTATGAAAGTTTAGTTAACTTCATAAGACTATGGAATTTTAAAACTGAAAGGAACATTCAAAAATGAAAATAGTGCTGTGTGCATGAGTGAGAAATTGAAATGCTCAGAAAAGTGAAATGAATTATTCGTGGTCATCCAGCTTATTAACTATATACTGGGTCTCAAGTGTGACCTCTCCTTCTAATACTCTTTCTACTACATAAGCTTCAGAATATGGTATTTGTTTGAGTTTCTCTAAATAAAAAATTGACAAGTTCTGTTCGCAGGACTCCTTTCCAAGTGTGAATTAATTTCCTCTTTCTTTTGTCAGGCGCTATAGTGGCCCCTGGTAAGACCCGAGGAGGGTCACCATACAACCAGTTTGATATCATCCCAGGTGACACACTGGGTGGCCATACGGGTCCTGCTGGTGATAGCTGGTTACCTGCCAAATCTCCACCAACGAATAAAATTGGAAGTAAATCCAGCAATGCCAGTTGGCCTCCAGGTATTGTCCAGGAAGTGTTTGTTTTTGTTTTTTCTGAGACATCATTTGTTTTTTAATTGTTAATTTCAGATTCTGAACAGATTATTTTTGCCACCCAATTTAGTAAGGCACCCACTTTCATTGTTTTCATTCAGTAATTATTGTCTGATAGAAACAAGGCATGTGCTAAGCTGTGGGAAGATAGAAAATTTTCATTAGATTGAGTCTCTGCTCTATAGCATTCAGTCAAGAAAATAAGGTAATGACACTGAACCACCTACAAGGTAAATTACTATGTAGCAAATACTGCACAGACTTGAATACGCTGAAGGAAGTCAGAGGAGGCAAAACAGGGCATAAAAGAAGGTGACTGCAGCCTGGACTTGGCATGTATTTGCCATAGGATACCTTGTAACTTGGATTCTTCTGAACTATCCATTGAAATGATTTGTTTATTTTTTAATATGTTTTTATTGATTTTTGTTTTTGTTTTTTTGAGAGAGATGGAAACATCAATGTGAGAGAGAAACATCAATGGGCTGCCTCCTGCGGAGGATTGAACCTAAAACCTGGGCATGTGCCCTAACTGGAAATTGGACTAGGATCTCTCAGCCCATGGGACAACGCTCAATCCACTGAACCACACGGGCTGGGCAATTTTTTTTTTTTTTTGTACAGATAGAGTGGGAGGGAGAGAGAGGAAGGGAGAGAGAGAGAGAAACATCGACGTGAAGGGACACATCGAGTGGCTGCCACCCGCACAACCGACCACGGCCGGGGACAAACTGCAACCGCGGGAACCGAACCCGGGTCTCTCAGGACCGCAGGCCGACGCTCTAACCGCTGAGCCAAACCAGCCAGGGCCGGGCAATTTTTTTTTTAAGCAAGTATTTATTATCATTTAGGTTCCAGGTTCGAAGTAGTGGGTGAATGAGAATATTCGTTACTTGCTTTCTTTTCTCTCTCTCTTTGTTTTGATATAGATAACCTGTTTTTATTGTAGAAAAAAATTTAAATGGAGTAAAGCAGAAATAAAAAATAATTTGGTATATGTCCTTCTAAACCTCTCTCTGTAATTGTGTTTGTGATATGAATATGTAGTTTCATTTTATTAAAGTAGGCCTATTATATTATGTCTGTTGTCAGTGTATGATGCATGTTACTTTCCCTCATCATGATTAGAAAAATGAAAGTTTATAGAGTCTGGCCAGTGTAGCTTAGTGGTTGAGTGTCAACCCATGCACCAAGTGGTCACCGGTTCTATTCCCGGTCAGGATACATGCCCAAGTTGTGGGCCTGATCCCCAGTGTGGGGCATGCAGGAGGCAGTCAGTTGATGTTCTTTCTCATCGATGTTTCTCTCTCTCTCTCTCTCTCTCTCTCTCTCTCTCTCTCTCAAATCAATAAATGAAAAAAAAAAATTAAAAAAGTTTATTAACACTATTACATAGCTTTAAATATGATTTAAATTAACCAATAAAAAATTGTAAACACTTATTTATACATATTCCACGCCTTCTCATGATAAGCCATATTATTCTTGCTGGTTGTCCCTGAATGTTCCACGTAGTAGTGGTCAATTGTATTGTGTTTTCTTATGTGCCTCTGAGCCAATTTCTGGTGAGATAAGTGGGAGAAGTCACTGATTTCCAACAAGATTTTCTCCTAGTTCTTGTCCTAGATGCCTGATCAGTTCTCATAAGCACCAGTCTACTTAATTCTGGCTTCCTGCCCGTGGACCTGAATTTCCCTAGGAGGAGGAAGAGCAGGTTCTGGGACTAGGCACTGATGAGCTCTGGCATCAAGTTCACAGCCATAGACAGAGAAGATTGACATGTTGACACAAAGGTGTTGCTGACAGTGTATATTTTCAAGCTGAATTTTTAAAAAATTTTATGACGAGCCCGGCTGGTGTGGCTCAGTGAATTGAGCATCGTTCCATGGACTGAGTGAGAGGTCCCAGTTCGATCCCTGGTCAGGGCACATGCCTAAGTTGAAGGCTCAATCCCCATTAGGGGGCATGCAGGAGGCAGCCTGTCAGTGTTTCTCACATCGATGTTTTCTTTTTTTTTTCAATTTGTTTTTTATCCTCACCTTAGGACATTTTTTTTTCCTTTTTTGTTCAGATAGAGTGGGAGGGAGAGAGAAAGGGAGAGAGAAAGAAACATTGATGTGAAATTGACACATCGAGCGGCTGCCTTCCACATAACCCCATCCAGGACCCAGGGCAAATTGCAACCGAAGTATGTGTCCTTGACCGGAATCAAACTCGCTACTCATTGGTCCGTGGGCCATCGCTCTAACTGCTGAGCCAAACCAGCCAGGGTTCACATCGATGTTTCTATCTCTCACTCTCTAAAATATCAATAAAAACATATTTAAAAAAAAATTTATGATGAAAATATGAAATAAAATAGATTGAATATTTAGACTTTTTATAGATCTATTTCTTATATCAAAAAATAACTTCATTGTACCTTCTACCGCTAATACTTGTGCTTTTTCTCTCAGAATTCCAACCAGGAGTGCCATGGAAAGGTATCCAAAACATTGACCCTGAATCTGATCCCTATGTCACCCCAGGAAGTGTGCTGGGGGGTACAGCCACATCTCCCATTGTAGATACTGATCACCAACTTCTGCGGGATAACACCACAGGTAAATAAGTCAAACATCCCTTGTATTGATTCAGCACCCAACATTTTTAAATTTGTCAAGCCGTGGCTTCATTTATACTTGCTATATTATCTAATAATTTAACCAGAAAACATAAGAACATAAAGCTTTCCACATTTATTTTTTAGGTATATTATGTTCACTCTTCTGTTGTAGGTTAAATAAAATACTTCCATGTTTCACTTGTTATACTAACATTTTTCTACAATATTTTCATCTTGTTTTTCATCTGTCACTCAAAGGGTCTAATTCTTCCCTCAACACCTCGCTGCCTTCACCTGGTGCCTGGCCCTACAGTGCCTCTGACAACTCCTTTACCAATGTTCATAGCACTTCAGGTATGAGTGTGACCTATTTGTTTCCTTTTGCTTAGCACTTTCAGGTTCCCTTTTACAAAGGAAATTGGCATTTATTTCTTAAGGAGTACTTTTATAAGTAGTTAAATAGCATATGTTAGTATAGATGGAGACACAACTCTTGTATTGGCAATGTCCTCGAGGAGCTTCAAGTGTCAGAGAGGCAGGATGAAACACACACAGCTTTAGAATAAGACAGATGGTGACATAATTGCAGGGAGTTGTCAGTGTTGAGAGAGCAGAGGTTATATCCTGATGGCACAATTGCTTTTATTTTAACCATTCTGCCAAGAGAACCAAGGGCCATGGGAAGAACCAGTTAAGTACATTTTGTTATTCCTAAGGCAGCCAGTAACAGTTTGCTTTTCTCTAAAAAATCCTTCCAGCCGGCTCAGTGGATTGAACGTTGGACTGAGAAGTCCTGGTTTGATTCCTGGTCAGGGCTCAAGCCTGGGTTGGGGGCTCAGTGCCCAGTGGGGGAGTTGCAGGGGACAGTTGATCGATGTTTCTTTCTCATATCAATGTTACTGTCTCTCTCTTAAAAAAAATAATAAAAATGTTTAAAGAATAAAAATAAAAGCCCTGGCCGGTTTGGCTCAGCAGTTGGAGCATCAGCCTTCGGACCAGAGAATCCCAGGTTCCATTCCCGCTAGGGGCACATACCAACAAAAATAAAATAAATAAAGTATGCCCACTCCTGCATATTTATTAAAAAAATTTTTTTTTAATTTAAAAAATAAAAATAAATAAAAAATAAAATTAAAACTTCTTCCACTTACAGACAAAGGCTAAGGGCAGCCGTGGCTGGGTAGCTCAGTTGGTTAGAGCGTTGTCCTGATACACCAAGGTTGCGGGTTCAATCCCTGGTCAGGGCACATACAAGAATCAACCAATGAATGCATAAATAAGTAGTACAACAAATCAATGTTTCTATCTCACTACTCTCTCTTCCTCTCCCTCCCTTTCTCTCTCCATCTCTTCCCATCTCTCTCTTCCTCTCCCTCAAATTAGTAAGTAACAATGAAAAAGAAAGGAAAAAAAAACGGCTAAGGGCCAAGGGATAAAAAGTGCCCTTGATTAATTCTACCAAAAACATTTGTTGAGTTTTTTTTGTTGTTTGTTTGTTTTTGTGTGGTTTTGTTTTGGGTTTGTTTTTTTTATCCTCACCTGAAGATATTTTTTCCATTCATCTTTCAGATAGAGTAGAAGGGAGAGAGAGTGGGAGGGGAGAGAAACATCGACACAAGAGAAACACATCGACTGGTTGCCTCCCGCACAACTCTGACCAGGGCCAGAAAGAACTGCAGCTGAGGTACGTACCCTTGGCTAGAATCGAACCCGTGATTCCTTGGTCCGTGGGCCTACTCTAACCACTGAGCAAAACCGGCTGGGACATGGGATTTTTTTTTTTTTTAAGACAATGGGGAATAGAAAAGTTATGGGATATAATAGAGCCTTTGAAGTCACTCAACACAATACCTTACATATCATTAGTAGTTGGCACTTTGGTTTTGCAAAAGTTGGACCTTAAGCCATTAAAGTCTTTAAGGGTTCTGTTCTTTGTCCAGGCAAAGGTAAAAATAAAACAAATCTTTTTTTTTTTTTTTAGCTTTTTATTATTTTTTAAAATTAATTAATTTTTATTACAGTTGTTTCTCCTTTTTCCCCCACTGATTCCTCCCCCCCCCCCCCCCCCGTCCCCAGCTTTGTTGTCCATGTCCATTGTTCATGCACACATGCATATAGTTCTGTGGTTTATCTCTCCCCCACCACCCCCTCTTCTGGGGATTGACAGTCTGTACCCCACTTTCATGTCTCTGGGACTGCCCCATTCCTCACACTGTTACATTCATTATATTCCACATATGATACTTGTCTTTCTCTAAAACAAATCTTTAGATATCTACTAACACACTGCAAGTTAGTGACCTTACAAGTTGTCTTCTATTTTTATTCTTTCCATGTCTGTGTCATATCAACAGTGTAACAGTAATCTATCATTTATTGAATGATCCTGTAAACCAGTCAGCAACTAAGCCTTCAGCATGAATTCCTTTTTTTATTTTTTTCAACAGCAGTGACTTATTTATTTCTGATGACTCAGTGGATCAGAAGTCTGGGCAGGGCCTAGTTGGCCAGTTCTTCTGTTGCAGCCGGGGTCAGCTGAGGTGTCTCATGAATTATAGTCGATGGCAGCCAGGCTAATCTAGAAGGCTTCACTCAGATGTCCCGTGTTTAGCTCCCCAGTGTGCCCTCTTTCACTGCATGTGTTGCCCCACCACTCAGTATTTTATCTCAAACTTTCTTTATTTTTTTATTTAATTTATTGGGGTGACAGTGATTCACAAAACTATACAGATTTCAGGTGTACAACTCAGTAAAACATCACCTGCACACTGCATCATGTGCTGATCACTCTAAGCAAAGTCCCTTCCTGTCCTCAACCCCCCCTCCTCCCCCTCCCGCCTTTGTCCACCTCCCCTCCCCCCACCCCCTGTCCCTCTAGCTATCACCACACTGTTGTCAGCATGAATTCTGTTTTTTTTTTTAAGAGAGAGAGAAAAGAGGAGAAACATCAATGTGATAGCGAAACATTGATCAGCTGTCTCCTGCACGCCCCCTACTGGGGATTGAGCCCTGCCACCTGGGCAAATGCCATGATCAGGAATTGAAATGGCAACCTTTAAGTGCACAGGAAGATGCCCAATCAACTGAGCCATACCTGCCAGGTCTCAGCATGAATTCTTATCTTACCTTTACTAAAGTCTCTGGGGAAAGACCCTGGTGTTAGCCCTATTTTTTTTCTTTTTTGAGCCTTCCGGTAAAAACCGGAAGGCCTACTAGACAAATTCAAAAAGAGCTATAAGCACTCCTTTTTTTAAAATTGATTTGAGAGAGGGAAAAATAGAAACATCGATTAGAGAGAACATCAATTGGCCGCCTCCTGCATGTCCCCCACTGGGGATCTGGCCCACAACCTGGGCATGTACCCTGACCGGGAATCAAACCGGCGACCTCTTGGTGCATGGGTCGGCGCTCAACCACTGAGCCACACTAGCATGACTATCCCCATTTTATAGATGAAGAAAAGGTTCAAAGGGTTGAGAAAATTTGCCTCAGGTCTGAGTTAGTGTGTAAAGGAGTCAACTCAGTATTTGCTGTTTATAACTACTATCCTACATTATACTTTTATTTTTAATCCTCACCCAAAGATATTTTTTTATTTATCTTCAGTTAGAGTGGGAAGGAGGGAGGGAAAGAGAGAAACATCAACATGAGAGGGACACATCGACTGGTTGCCTCCCTCACGACCCTGACCAGGAATGAATCGCAACTGAGGTACGTGCCCTTGACTGGAATCGAACCTGTGACCCATTGGTTGATGGGCCAATGCTGTAACTGCTGAGCCAAACCTGCCAAGGTGCCTACATTATACTTTTATAGGTCTTCTTCCTTTACATGGAAAAACTCATTTTCACCTAACTCTTCTATTCCTGTTACTTCCTGTATCTAGGTTGAACTGTTCAATCTTTTGTCTACAATTGGACATTCACCTGGGAGATGACCTAAGAATCACCCCAGACATGTCTAAAACTGAACATATACTGTCATACCTCCAAAATTATCTTTTCTTTTTAACTAAACTCTTTATTTTTCCTAGTGATGTTCTTCCCATGAATCACTAAGCCACAAAATCTCAGTATTTTCTCGTTCTTTCATTTCTCCCTTGTTCCCTGGATCCAGGCAGTGATGATGTCCCCAAGTGGTTTAGTCTGCCGTCATTTCTCTCTTATCCATGTCTTCTGTTCCATTCTGTTTGCTGTCACCAGGTTTTGCACCCTAGTTTAAACACTACATACTGAATCTACTACAAAATCTCCTGATAGTATCCTAATTAGTCCCCAGCCTACCTTTATTGCCTCCTTTACTTCTCTGCCCCTGTGAAATGTTGTTCACCCAGAACTGAGGAGAAACATATTTGGTACAGAAAAGGTGTAAATTGAACCTTGGTTTATATTTTCCAGTCTCTCTGAACCCATCTGTTTATGTAAATCCTTTAAGACCTGTCTTTGCAAAGTGTTTGATAATAGCCCAGCATTGTCTTTCTCCTCTGTGTATTGAACATATATGATGTTGCCTGGGGTTACCAATTTTGTTACTCGTCTGTTCTGTTTTTCAATCTGACCTTTAAGTTCTTGAGAATAACTGTTTCTATTACCCACATACTGATTTAACGTCTTAAAACATAGTAAACTCTTAGTGAATATTTGTTGATTGTATTTTTTAAATCTGTTTGAATATTATCTAATATTCTGGATCAAGAAAAGTGTAATTTTCTAGTGTATGTTCCAGTAAGTCAGTAAGTATTTATAGAATATTTTAGTTCCACTAGGTTTCACATTCTTTTTTTTTTTTTTCCCTCCCTTATTGATTTTTAGAGAGAGGATGGGAGAGGGAGAGAGAGATAGAAACATCAATGAGAGAGAATATCAGTTGGCCGCCTCCTGCATGCCCCACATTGGGGATCAGGCCCACAACCCGGGCATGTGCCCTGACCAGGAATCTAACCAGCAACTTCTTAGTGCATGGGTCGATGCTCAACCACTGACCCACACCAGCCAGGCAGGTTTCACATTCTATATCTGTAAGACTAACGGCTTCAGGAATCCTTTCCTTAAATTTATCTTCTCTTTCAGATTGTGTTTAGTTAAGAAAGCAGTAGGAAATTAGTTATCTTATTAAGTCTTTAGTCCATCTGGTAATTTGTCAGTTCAGAGTTGAGGTCATTGAAAATTTTATGTTTAATAAGCTCAAAGAACAATATTTTGTATTGCTCCTTTTAAAATATTTTTAGAATTAAATGTGTGTGTGTGTGTGTGTGTGTACACAAAATTTATGTGCATTTGGTGACAGGGGTGACCTATCTAACCTTATTTCTTAATTTTCTTACAGCAAAGTTCCCTGATTACAAATCAACATGGTCCCCAGATCCCATAGGACACAACCCCACTCATCTCTCCAACAAGATGTGGAAAAACCATATTTCCTCAAGGAACACTACACCGCTGCCCCGCCCACCTCCTGGTCTGACCAACCCCAAACCATCATCTCCCTGGAGCAGCACAGCACCACGATCAGTCAGGGGGTGGGGGACACAGGACTCACGGCTTGCCTCGGGTGAGAAGGATCTGCCTAAAGGAGCATCTTATGTTAACACAAATGGTGAAGACATGATGAAGTCTTTGCAAGAGATGAAATTCAGGTTGACTGGTAGAGGAAAAAGTATCTCTTGAGTGGAAAATTATAGTCAGCGTAAGGCAAAGGGACCCAGGAATTCCCAAGGTACTGATGGAGTAAAAATGACAAACAGAGTGAGAGCACTAGGAGGAAAATGTTTTCTTACAGCAAAGGCATAATAGTGCATAGAGGTCTAGGTCTAGGAAAAGAGAGCTGGCTATTCAGTGACAAGATAAAGATCGGAGTGCAGTGGAAAAGACACAGTGATTTATACAAAGAGAGAAGCATGTGGGCTATATCAAAATGTTTCTCACTCATGCCTTTTTAAATTTTCTGATGGCTCTTTCTAATCCTTTTTCTGGTTGCTTACAGCCTCTACCTGGAGTGATGGTGGTTCAGTTCGTCCTAGTTACTGGCTGGTTCTTCACAATCTCACTCCACAGGTAATCATGCTTTCTTGTGATTTTCTAGATAGGACTTAATTGTGTTAAGAGTGAGAAACTCAGAGATGTGGATAGATATGAAAACTCATTTATTTCCTGGTCACTGCAGAGAGGTCCAGCCTGCCAAGGGTGTGTCTTGCCACCCAAGGCTTAAAGCCTACTGGTGAAGAGGGGGTGTTGGCCACTCAGTGTCATGCCTGCCCTGTGGTGATGTTAACACATGTACTTTATAAAATAGTGACAATGGGGCGTTACTGTCTGGTGAATTCTGTTTAACAGAGATAATTTGCTGTGTAGAGCCGTTTGTCAGAATCTAGAATTAAATGGAAGATGGCTGTTTAAGTGTTTTAACCACATGCAAAAACAGTTACCTGTTTCTGTGTTAGTTATCAAAGACCTGAAGCTCGATATTAATGGATTTTCTGCTCCATAAATAATTAACCATCTATCTCTGCAGAACAAACGTGTCTATTTCATAGTTTAAATGCCTCATGGGTACTTCTAATTTTCTGTGTTACCCTCTTCTATGTAGATGGCATTACTCATTTCCGTCCTCAGAATATGCCCTCTGGGTTGTTTGTACTGTGGTGGGACTTCATTTCTACCAAAGCGCCACTGTCCCTTCACATTGGTTGCTTGATAACTGACACATTTGCAGCAGCACTATGTTGAGGATTCAAGTGAGATTAAATGAACCCATCGAAACTGAGCCTGTAACCTTCATTTGAACTTGCCAGCACAACCTTTGCAACACTTTGTCAAAAGAGGTCAATTATGCCTCCATGCCTTTGACTCACAGAATGATTTGTCTAGCATTTAATTTATAAACAGAGTCGTGTACACTTTATTAAGCTAGCACTTTCCAGAGTGTTTCCCGTTGTCTAATATGTTTGGAATATATACTTGATTAAACAAAATTAAGTAGGTTTGTTCACCAAGCCTTTTTAGTTCCTTTAAGATGCTAACATGTATTATGATCCTCTGTGGGGAAATACAGCTTCTCCTAAATTTATTTGCCTAGTGAACTCATTTGTGGGGAGTAAATCCAGGGCTTGTATTTCATGGTCCATGTTGAGAAAGTCAGTTTCCTAAATACAGTTAACATGAGGAAGAATCTGGATTGGCTTTTAATCCCTGTATCTAATAACTCAGCTAAAAGTCCCAGGTTATTTAGCTAATGGTTGACTGAAGCATGAAGATTTTATGTTACTATCCTCAAAACTATATATGCCTTATTATTTCTAATGAAATAATGTGGTGGATGTAATGTGGTTAGGATGAGAGAAGGGGTACACTGTGTTGAAATTAACCTGGGCAAGCTAACCAGCTGTTCACTTCTGTTTCATAATATGAAAATTTACTTACGTGTGTGTGTGTGTGTGTGTAAAGAAATATAGGTTGGCTGTGTTTATATTAGAAAGAATTCATTAATTTTAAAAATCAACACTGCCTCATAGCCAACTAATCTCAGTTGCAGCTTAAAAGAAGGATATACAGTCAAATCTTCAGTTCCTGGATATTTATTATTATCCAAAATTTCTTTAGAAGACATCTACCCTGAAAAGCCACTAAGTGGCATACATTGATATGCTTCTGTAGTCGATTGTCAGTTTAAAAACAATGCTAAGAGCTGTTTCTCCAGTCGTTTTCTATGAAGAACTATGGTGAAACTGCCAGTTTCATCCTGCAGGGTTTCCATGATAAAACCACAGAATGTTTCCACTGCTGCTGCCAGGAGCACAACTTTTGAAGGCTATTCCAATAGTAATGTTTCACTTCTAAAGAAATGAACTGAAATGTTGGACTGAGCAGCTTAAATAAACTTAGTTGAGAGCTTGATACAAATAATGAGAGTGAATAGATTTGTTGATTTGAGTCATAGGTGAGGGCAATTATCCCCTGTCATTGGACATCTTAGTGGTGAGAGTCTAAGGTGAGCAACTGTAACCTTTGGTCCAATTGGCAGAGGACAGAGAAGTAGGTAGAATAGTCTCACTTTGAGATGGCCAGAGGAGGAGTAAAAGGACATCAGAACAGTCTATGAGCTGGGGCAGCAGTAGTTAGCAGTGCTTTTCTTGTTTGTGGCTTTCTTTCTAGCTCTTTGTGAGATTTTTAACCAGGGAGGTGACTATATTAGTAATGATGCTGAGAACTTTGCATGTTTTCTTAAACTCTTATTTGGGTAGCATCTTATTTCTGCTTTTTAAAGCTCTACAAATTAGCACATGTTCACCTGTTTGCCTCTTAAAGAATATAGACCACAGATTGAATCAATGCTTTTGTTTTGAACTGCATCTGTGCAAACTTTTTGATTTGCAAAATGGGCACATTAGATCTTAGCCCAATGCTTTGAATATCTTAAAATTTCCCTTTAAGACCTCAGTATTCAATGCACTCTTTCCTTACTTTGAGTTCTTCATTCATCCCTCCAACTTATTTAGTACTGATACTGTTATTTACAAACCAGAAGTTCTTCTCATTCTCTTATATAAGAAAGAGGTCACTTGACTTTCTATCACAGCCCACCTCCAGTTTTTATCTCACAAATGTCTTACTCCTTAGATTGATGGGTCAACCTTGAGAACCATCTGCATGCAGCATGGCCCACTGCTGACATTCCATCTGAACCTAACCCAGGGCACCGCCCTGATCCGATACAGCACCAAACAGGAGGCGGCCAAGGCCCAAACTGCACTGCATATGTGAGTACCTGTCCTATGCTCACTGAGACAAACACACTGGAAAATGCATACATGAGTATTCTGGCACCTGCTTAATTAAACAAAGATGCACGAGAACTTGCTCAAAACATCATCTCATAAGTTAATTGTTTGGTACTGAGATGACTGATTTTTACCTGCCTAAGCATGAATTGTCCTGTGTATATCATAGGCTGATACATAAGCCAATAATCAGAATTCCACAAGTGAAGAATTTGTGAAGTAGTGAATAAAATTTAAGTACCATAAAACAAAGCCATTACCTATGAAAAGGTGAAACCATAATTACAGTCTATTTTCATAATCATATGTAACTGCTTACTTTGGCTTCTTTGTGAGTGATGATGAAATGTTGTGGTCTTGGTAGATAGTAGAGCTTTTTCATGAAGTAGGTGAGACTAGATCAGACTGTGACCATCCCCCTCCCTGCCACTCTCAAACTGATGGACAGGAAAGAACTGACTCTTTGTGGCTACAGATGTCAAGATAAACAGCTACACACAGAACAAGCAAGTGATGGTGAGGCTCAGGCAGTGAGCCTTCCACTGAGATGCTACAACATTTCCAAGTGTCTAAAGCTGAAAAACCTTGATGCTTGGCCTGTGATCTTTTACTTCTCATGGGGGAAAAAAGAGGTGACATTATTCTTGACATATAAAATTTTCATACCGAGGGATATCTATGTGTAGTATCCTCCAGTAGTCTTTTGATATCTTGAGACATTGTGGTACCTTATTGCTTTAAATCAGTCCCTGGCGGCCTGGTTAAAATGCAGATTCTGATCCTGTGAGTCTGCATTTTATAAAGCATCCAGGGAATGTGGAAGCTTGTGGTCAAAGGGCTGCACTTTGAATAAAGAGGACTCAAAATACTCAGTTCCTATCTGTTTTAGGATTTTCCTCAAATCCATAGTTCTTCCCTCCCCTTTTTTCCAGGTGTGTGTTGGGAAACACTACCATCCTGGCTGAGTTTGCCACCGATGATGAAGTTAGCCGCTTTCTGGCACAAGCTCAGCCCCCTACACCTGCAGCAACCCCGAGTGCACCCGCAGCAGGTTGGCAGTCACTGGAGACCAGCCAGACCCAATCAGATCCCGTCGGACCTGCTCTGAATCTTTTCGGTGGGTCCACAGGGCTCGGGCAATGGAGCAGCAGTGCTGGTGGCAGCAGTGGGGCCGATCTTGCTGGCGCTTCGTTGTGGGGGCCCCCAAACTATTCTTCTAGCTTGTGGGGAGTCCCAACTGTGGAAGATCCCCATAGGATGGGCAGCCCTGCTCCTTTACTACCTGGTGACCTTCTGGGAGGAGGGTCGGATTCAATCTGAACTTAGAACCTTCAACTCTGACCTCGTGACCTTTTTTGGAACAGCAGCAGCACTAACTTGACCTTTTCGTTTTTTTTTTCAACTTGCAATAAATACATTTTTAAAAGGAAAAAAGAAAACGGAGAGAGAAAAAAAGGTGGGTCATTGACAGACTGTCTGAGCACATAGTTGCCTCCCTTATAACTTCAGTTTTTTTGTTTGGAATATGAATCCAAAAAGAGAACATATCACTCTTGAAATACTTGAATCATGAACGCCAACCTAGAAAGACAATGTGAAGCAAGTACACATACCATTTAAATTTAAACACAAAAAAATTAAAAAAATTAGTTTCTAGTTTTTCACTTTTTTCATGTTATATGGAAGTTGTTGCTAAGAAACATATATACTGAAAAAATAGCTTTTTAACTTTGTTTGCACTGGGTGTGTTTCCGTCCTTAGGTCTACCATGTTTGGGAGGGAGGGAAATTCAAAAGAATTGTTGGGGTGGTGGGAGGGAAGACTTGACGGAGCCTCACTTTAAAAACAAAAACATAAAAAACCTTAAAAAAAAAAAAAGGAAAAAATTTGTGATTGGCTGGTTGATAAATACCAGTGTGTTCTGGCACATGTAACTGCCCAGGCATGCTTGTTCTGGTATGTGTGTGCACGTGTGTTCATGTGCATTCGCGTGCATCCTTCTCTCTGTCTCTGTGTGTATGTATGCCTTTGTCCTCCTCTGCCTCCTCCTCCTACCTGACCCTGATTTCTCAGAAAGCTGCGTTGCTGACAGTCCGTAGGCTGGCTGGCCGGCCATCGCTTTTTACTTTTATTAATATTTTTTTTAACTATGAGAACACACAAGCATGGGGAGCACTGCTGCTAAAGCAACTCCTTTGGGCTGCATTAAGATGAACAGAGTGCTTTTTAATGATGAGAGCAGGGAGCTCCTTTACACCTGCAAATTAGTCTGAGAGTGAGTTTTCTCTAGCTTTTCTTTTGACCCAGCAGTAGGGTGGAGCTCTGCCAAGTCCAAAAAATTAGGTGAGCAGGAGGTACCTCTTGGAGTAACTGTGTGTTTATGTATTTCTGGGTTTTTTTTTAAGTAGCCACTAGGCTAACATCTGAATCTGTTAAGTTTTATGCAGGCCTTTTTGTTACTTTGGGAACAGATGATGAATAGTTTTTAATTATGTGATGTCTCAAAAGCAGAAAAATTATGTTCCCCTCCTTCCTTGTATAGTATAATCAGGTATGAGAAATTCATCAGAAAGTCAGGTAATGCTGAATTCAATATTTCTATTCTCTTTTTCATTTTATGAAAACAGAAAAAAGTAAGTTGTGAGCAGCCTCCTGAAAGCGTCCGCAGCTCCTCCCTCTCTGCTCCTTTCTTGCTGAGCGTTACCTGTGCCAGGCCGTGGCGTGTTACAGCACCAGGCCATCACTGACAGAAACGTTTACTTAACGAATGTTCTTAAACCAGTGTGTACTTCAAGCGTTTCCTTTTGTTTCTCTGTGTTGTGTATTTCCTGTGTATGTGGTTTTGCTTAGGCAGGTATAACTTAGCAAAGACTTTTAAGTATTGCACCTTTTTTTGGTTTTGACCTCTTTTTTTTTTCCTTATAATGTTGCTTTTTTTATTTCGGTATTTAAAGACTTTTTTTAAGCGTCAATGTAGTAGTATTCTGGGCCGAATAGGAGCTAACTTTTAATCCACAGTTATCACCAACATGTATGTACTTATGTTGGAATCAAAATGTATCGAACTGCTTTTTGTGAAGAGAGTTATAGCAGCCCTGAAGGGGTATCCCTTTATACAGACAGATGGTGGGTGGGGTGGGGGGAGGGGGTTGTATGCCGGTAATGTGCTAGCACTTGTGTGGACATCCCAATCTGCATTATACTGTTTAACATAAAGTGCCGACATTCTGTACCAGCAAATACCTGCCCATTCCAACCCTTGGTGGGAGCAGACCTCTACTGTCCTCCATAACTTGCTGCTAGTGAGGACAAAGGAGTTTTTCTTTCTTTTAGCATCTTCAGTGAAGGATATAACAATGCCTAATGTATTTGACTTTTAGCTTGTGTCTTTGTGTAAGGTGGGTGGGTGGGTATGTATAGGAAAAGGCAAAAACTCATTTAAGTGGTTTTGTGAGACAAAGAATGGGAATTCTGTAGTCCTCTAGGCTTACCCTGTTGATTATAAACCTAGCCTCAAAAGAGATTGACATGCATAATTCAAGTGAGCATTCGCTCATACTAGTCTTTATGAACCCTTCATGGGTAGGTGGTCAAACTTGAGTTTCCAGCATTGGTTTGGTCCCATTGGATGCCTTGTAGAAAACTAACTGTGCCCTCCTCCTGCTCTCCGGTTTTCATTACCACCGTGCCCCTTCCACCTCTGCCCACGTACAGTGTCTCCTCCCAGTCCCCACTGACTGCTCTCTGTGTTTGGAGCACAACCCTATCATGTGGTGACCTCCAGGTGAAGAGCAGCTGTGTTCAGACATCTACAGAAGGCTTAGTGTCCCTAGGCTAGGAGCACGTCCTGAGGCTCCTGAGAGCCAGTGGTGACCCTGCCACTCTGGTTTCCTGCCGTGTCCTGCCACACCCTCCACCCTTCCAGCCTGTTGGTTCCTTGACCTGCACTATGGGTTAGTTGAGTTCCTTACGATACTACGGTGAAAGCCGGGTGCTAGAGCCCCTCTTGTTTACAAGACATACTGAGGGATTTGAAATATGTAAAATTAACATGAGAAGCTAAAATGTTCTTCCATCATAAGCTTAAAGGGAAAAAAATTTAAAACTTTAAAAAAGACCAAAAAGTGCACATATATATATGTATATATATATACATGCATATATGTATATATGTATACACACACACACACATATAAATATATATTTTAGATGAAGACTAACTCTGGGAGCATTTAACAGTGTTTTTTGTTTTCGTTTTTAACATTTATTTTCCTGCTTTAAAATTTGCAAGCATTCTCAGGAATTCTAGGGTAGGAAGCCAGTTTTTTGAAGATGGTTTATTTAACCGTATCTTATCCTACATAGACAGCTGTTTCTTTCCTGTTAATACACTTTTACAAGTTCCTGAAACTTCAAAAAGTTTAAACAATTTTTACTTAAAAAAATGTAAAAAGTCTCCAAATATTATTGTCATATTGGGGACACACATTTTAAAACATGTAGAAATAAATATTTTTTAAAAATGATCAATTTAGCAGCAACAGGTTAATTCATTATCTTAAAAAAATAGGGGAGAAGGACTGAGCTTTATAGGAGCTCTATCACAGATATATTTGAAATTATATGTAATTTAATGGGACAGTGTTTGGTGTATATAAATGGAAATTCCATCACTTTGTTTCTTTCCATTTAAGACTAAACTGAAATCTCCCCTACTAATTTTTTTTTTAAAGAAACCCTTCTCCCTGTCCCCTAGCCCTACCAACAAAAGAAAGGAAGAAAGGAAGAAACAACTTAAAAAATAATAACTCTAATCTGTAAAATAGTATGGTTGGATTGCTGAGAATCTATGTAAAGAGTTAGGAAATATAGGTTAATAATTTTTGGAACAAATTTTAAATATAGGCATTACTAGAGGAAAAGTGTCTGTGGACTATTCTATTAATGAAGAATGTCTTACCTCCATTTGTTATGGCAGGAGGAGAAAATACTAGAGGAATCTAATAAGGAACAAGTGATTTTACTTTTTTTGCTCCCAGCTACTATGCTCATTGTAATTGCTGTTTTGAAGATCTGCTGCTTAATTATCCCCATCCCTCAGCCAGAGATGTGGAGTGTTTTCTTTCAGTTTTGGGTGATATAAAATTCTTCTTTTTGTATTCCCTCTTGGGGTCCGGGAACAGAACTCCCAAGCATGACTACAGCTTCTTCTAAACATCTAAGCTTCCCAGTGGGAAAGAAACTCCCACTTGACAGGTAAAGGGAGTGGGTGGGGTTGCTGCCTGCAATTTCTCTAAAACCGCTTTAGTGCCTTGGTACATACACCCAGACATCCTAAGCAGGGGGAACACGTGTGTATGTGCATGTGGTCCAGCCACTCCAGAGACATTAAGACACTTACCCATTATGGAAATTGGAGTGGTTCTGGACAGACCCCAAAGGCAGTGGGCTAAATTTAAAATAAACAAACAGAAATCAAGGAAGTTAAATATGCTGTTTATGTTTCAAAAATGTGGAATGCCAAGATCCTTCCTTGTGTTGGTGCCCTTTGTTACTGTGCATTGACTTCTCCAGGTATATCAGTGTGACAACTAACGTGATTTGGAAAGTTCCTTTGTGTTGGGTCAATAGAAAGGGGTTCGTATTTTTCTGTTCTTGTCCTTCCTCTCCTCTCTTTCCCCCACTCTTATTTTTCTTTCTTTCCTTTTTTATTTATTTATATTTTATTTTTGTCAACTTGCTGGAATCTTTGCTTTATTGGTTGGCAGTAACCTAAGAACAGGATATAGTGAGATGTAATGGAAGAGAAAAACTCTTCTTTCCATGGTATTCTTTGGCAAGAGCCATTTCTGCTGAGAGGTTAGATGGCTTCAAACACTTAGAAAATTCAATGGGAGCATCTTTTCTTCTACCACATTCTGGCATGTGTATAGAGGCCTGCTGGTCACCTCATTTACATAGATTTACTTTATAAACATTTTGATCATGTAAATTTGAGCTTTCTAGTTTTCACTGGTTTTCCTTTATTTCTTTAAACACTTGATCACTAGTGACTAGAGGTGTTCATCTCTCAAACATCGTGAACTTGGTTTCTGTCTACCACATGAGTAGCCAAAAGAAAAGCAGCACTAGTAGGAAAAGGGATGTCTTCCATCAAACTGGGGACCTCTGCTGGCAATTAAGATCCAGTGCCATGACCTAATTTTAGAGCTTTTTGTTTTCAAAAGCAAAGTTCATATCTCCCAGACACTGAAAAGAGTGGATAGTACATCTCTGATCCCTCAGTCTCTAGCCCTTGATATTTTTTATTTATGACATTCACAGAAGTTAACCAGCTGTGCTGCAAGTTAAAGTTCTAAACAAATTCTTTCATCAGTGTCCCCTAGTTAATCAACATTATCCGTTGACTGCCATTCAATTTCTTTGATTTACAGCAATTTGATTTTATATTACTATGACTCCTATTCTAAGAACTTTACCACCTCTTCTGACATGAATGTAGCATAAATTAGCAGTTGATTCTTCCAAGTTCCTGTGGATTGAATGTGATGTATAAGTTATGCAACAAAAAGAAAGGAAAAGAAATTCCTGCCTAAGAATTTGGAATAACTTCTAATACATCTAGCTGAAATTAAAATTTCACAGGCTATTAACTTGTTGCAAATATTCACTCACTTTTCGCCACTTCTTTGGAGGGAGGAGGAGGCAGTTCTTGTAGAGTTAGCAGCCAGATTCCATATCGACCTCAGATGCTGCATACTTTTTATTTTTTTATATTCTGGCATCGTGACTCTTAAACAGAATGAAAATATCTGTGTGGTGAGCAAAATGCTTAAGCCAAGCCTATTTTCTTTTGCAGTGTAAACAGGATATTTTCAGCAGACCTGGCTGTAACAGGCATCTCTAAGATTAGGGAACAATTGAGTCTTTATATAGAAAAGGTCCCCTTCTCCTCCGGCCTCAGAGTTCAGATTCAGCATATGACACTTTGTAGGTTATTGTTTTCGGTTTGGGTTTTTTCTTTTGTTTTAATTATCTGTAAGGTCTTTAGCTACAAGTAGAGATACATTTTTAGCTGGTTAAAAAAAAAAAAAGTCAAACTTGTTCTTTTCCAGTGGTTTTGCCAAGTTTTCTCACACTTCATGTCTATGCATTAACTATACTTCTTAGTGTTAATGCAAAAAGAAATCTTACTCTTTGTTTTCCCTCCTGTGAGTGTACAGCAACCAGGCTGCATGCAATAGTGCAGATGAACATATTCTAGCCTGTGTGTATACAGTGATTTGTCAATCGTTGACCTCAGCATCATTCAGAAAATAGGGTGCCCTTGCCCTTACCCTCTGCTGCACCCCATTACACACCCCTTGTACTTTCTTATCTGCAAGAACAGAGTGTCCACACAATCTAGAAATGGCAAATACACATAATGTTGTCAAGGATATCCTCAACCTATTAAAAACAAAATATGTATAGTTTCACAGCTAGAGCACACCCTGTAGTATGGTCTGTAGATTTATGGCCAGTGCCAAAGGTGTGTGTATTTTCAAAGGTGGTCCCCATTTGTCAGTGGTGGTATTGTTTTCATGACCTTAAATTTGATAAAGGAGATGCTGGCATCCATTCTTTAGATTTGAAATAATTACCAACTTCAAAATCTGTGAACATCGTAATAACTTAATATTTGAACATTGGCCCTCCCTACCCCACCCAGAATGCCACCTCCTCACCTACACTGCCAAAGAAAAGAGGCCATGAGCATCTACAGGATTGTAGAGGGAACACTGGTCAGGAAACAGGTACTTCCCACCGGCTGGGCATCCGCGCTGTCCTGTGGGTGGTCACTCGGTCTATATCTGGAGTAACCACATGTTCTAACATTTGAGTGGTTTTTAAACTGTCAGTCTCTCGTAGTAACCTGCTACCACCACCAAAACTAACAAAAGTGACCAAAACTGCCAGTGTTTGCCTCACAGAATTTAAATAGTTCCCTTTTCAGTTAGCTGTACACCTGAATTTGTTTTTAACTAGAAACCCCACACCAGGAAAAGTGGTACTGCCCTGATCAAAGGGTCTCTGCAAGACTCAGTCACTGGTTCTTCATTCCGCCAACACTTGTTTTGAGTATGGGAGGGGAAGGATCAGATAAAGGCAAGAAATGTTCTGTTTCAATTTTAAAAAGAAAATGTTTCCCTAAGTAACTTTGTGCCTCAAACTATTATTTCAAACTATAAATCACTGCTTTGGAAATAAAATCCCAATTGTAATTGACCCATTTCGAGGCAATATTAAGAAGCTGGGCTTGTGTTTTTTAAAAAGTATAGTTCCTTTTTACAACTAGTGGTGAGCAGCAAAAGACAAGTGGGAGGGTAGCTTACAATATTGTGGCAGGGTTGTGAAGTGAAGTGCTTTTCTTTCCCTTCTCTTCCCCTGCTTTCTTGGACCACTTACTGAAGCTGGCAGTTCTTCTTGGGCTACTGAAAGGTGTGCACAATTCTCCAAGGGCTGAGTTGTTGTAAGAGGTGACCAGCGGTGAGATGGAGCGGCCTTACTGCAAGATTAGCCTTACAGCAGAGCTTTATGGAGAGGAAGATAGGTATCCTACATGTGTTCGCCAAAAATGAAAAAGGGGGGTATTTATACAAAACCAAGGAAAAACAACCTTTGGAACCGTTTAAGAAGTTACATACCTTTTAAAGGTAGTCTAGTTTCTCACTAAGTGATGCATTCAGCATACACTTCTTGCCAGAAATTTCGGGCTAAGTTAGAATAAATGTGTTTAAAACACCATCCCTACCCCCCACACATACTTTTTAATTTTGTCCAAGGGATTAATTAAGTGTAGTATTTCTGAATGTGCCTTTGTGAGTACAGAGACCGTCTGTTTTAGGAAGACTATCCATTAGGATTAAAACAGAAGACGGTCAGCCTAGTCTTTAAGGAAGTCAGCATTTCTCCTGGCAGTCTCCAGGGGCAGCTGTTGAGTTTTCATTAGCATCAATATTGCACAGTGTGGAGTTGTGTGGAAGAGGCTCTGGGACTTGGGAGAGGGGGCAAAGAGGTGATGGTGCACAGGTGACAGAGACCCAGGTTAGTCCAAGAGTGCAGGTTGAATTTATCTATCTGCATTACCTAGTTTTCTTCGTGTATATGTGTGTGTGCACGTCTGGTTGTTTTACTTTTTGTTTTTCTGTAAGCACTGGAGAACTGAAATATGGTGATGTTTGTGACACATTCATGCATGTCCAGAGGCGGTTTCCCTGCTTCTGTGTGCAGGGCGGGCAGTGCATTTCCACCCTCTGAGTCTGTGTCCCAAGAAGGCAATTATTTTCCCAAATGGAAGTCACTTCATGTTGCTGTTTATTCAAACAGGGTATTACACACAAGGAAAAAGCTTTTGAAAGAATAAGATTGAAGTGTTTGAGAAAGAAAAGAGAAAAATCTGAAATCATATTTTATTTCTTCAGAACTGTTATAGTTAAAACATAGAAACCTGCAGCATCTCTTTATTTGTTTTTATTTGTTTTAAATAATTCCACCTCTTCTCCCCACTCCCGATCTTCTAAAGAAATATCAAGTGAATGCTAAGGGCCATTTCCATAATTCCTCAGAACTCCCCAAAGAGGAAACCGATCCCTCCCGCAAGATTCCTTCAGCTTCCTTCAGCTTCATTCAGGAAGACAAAGGGAGGAGAGATGCTGCCGCTCTCTGTGCTTCACTCTCATTCCTCTCTAATGGCCTTGAAATGTATTATTATGCAAATGTGAATTTTGATACTGAATTTAAGAAGAGGTTGTTGGATTTTTTTCTTTTTTCAAAAAACAAAAGGTCCCATATGTGGTCATCATTGCTTCTTTATTTTGTAACGTGAATTGTAACTATGCATTCTGCAAAAGGGGGGAGGAGAGGGCAGAAAGGGGAAGGAAGTAGCTTTGCATCTTGTTCTATGGTTTCTGTGTCCATGGTATCCCATGTCCTGGTGGGAAAGGGGAGTGAGAGCAAGAATCAGTAAGGTCGGTGGCACAGTGAGATGCAGAGACCTCTGGGTCCTCCTGTGGTCGCTGGCAGGCGTAATGGCCCAGCAAAACCAATGTGGTACAGGATTCTCCATTCTAGCCGTGCAGTGTTAACCCAGTGCAACAGTGGGGCCCCAACGGCTCCAGTGTTCTCTGGTAAAAAGTACTCATCCTTTCCTGAATTCCGAACCCTCTCAAGCTCAGGAAACCATGCCTCACTCGTGCTGACCTTAAAGTTCATCTTTTGTCAACTTTGAAAACCTTCTCCTCCTCCTTCTCCTCGCTCCTGTTTAAATTTTTGTTTTTTCCTTCTTAATCGTTTTGAAGTGAACTTAATTATAAGGAAATTGTCTTGCTCCAAGGGGAAGAGGATTTTTGCTTGGCAGGCAAAAAGGGTTCTCTTCCCATCCACTATCCCTCTGCCAAACGTGATCTCTCTGCTTCCCTGGCATTTATTAAGCTGTATATAGCTAATGAGCAGTGAGGTGTTTGACAAAGGAAAGCCAACAGCCTTCTCTTTGTCCTAACAGAATTCCTTTGTGAATCTTGCCTGTGGTGAATCTTGGCACCTGCATTGCTCTGGTCTAGGCATTATTTGCAACACACAGTATCGTACGGAAGAGATTGTTCTGCCCGTGTTCAGTGTTTCCAGCAGCTCTTGTCCACAGTACTGTAATGAGTCACAGACTGGACCACAGTCTCCTTGTGCCCGTGCAAGGCTGCACGGGCACCATCTTATCAGGGTTCCAATCTGTTAGATTGCCTTCAGACAAAAACAAAAAAAACAAAAAAAAAATTTAAATCCTGACGTTTCAACTGTCTAACACAAAACAATACCTCGAGGTACTTTTCCCCTGCAGTGTAGACCTTGACTCCCCTCTCCTTTTCTGACAACAGTGGGTTATCCTTTTGAAAATATGAACATGTAAATAGCAGGATAACTTTTTATAATTTTTTTTGCTGTGAAAGTAACCCTAAAATATGATATTTTTCTCTCTCTCTTTTAAACCTATCAGAAGTTTCAGTTCTTATTCCTTTCGCATTTAAGAAGAGAAAGCAGAACAGGTCAGGGTGTGGACTTGCATTTGTGGGCTGGTGTTCTCTCAGGTGCCTCCCATTCACAGTGACAGCAGGCCAGTGTCTAAAGCCTGTTTTGAATAGATACCATCTCATTCAGCCTTCTAGCTCCAGGGTGGGGAGTGTCTGAGTTTCTCTCTTCCCGAAGATCCATCTCCAGGGTTCCAGAATGTTTTCCACAGGAGACCTTGAGCTCTCAACCTTTCTTGATTCACACACACACACATACATACACAGAGTAACTAAGTATCATTCTGTAGTTCACAAAGGGAATTAGTCCCTGGCATTTCACTTTTGTGCTGTAGAATTTATAGCCTTGTCACTTTGTGATACTATGGAAATGTGTTGATTTGTTACTTACAAAGAAACTCATCTGAGATGTGCAAACAACTGCCCTAAAAGGCATGTGCACCCTCAGACATTCCTCCACCCCACCCCTCACCCATGGGACTTGGCTGACATTAGGTAGAGGGACATAAGTTTAACTCATGCTGCTTGTAGGGATCTGTCAGCTACCGCTCTCTTAGATTTGGCCACTTACAAGGCAGGAATAGAATGCGTCATTTTGAACAGCTTCTTCACAAACATCCCCCTTTTCCCCATCTTAAAGACAAACTCTATAACTGTCAAGAAGCCCTCTTTAGTTTTGACTTGTATAGTGACGACTTCCTTTGAGGGGAAGAAGCTTGATTATAAATGAACGTATATTCACCACTCACCTTCAGATTTCGGCCCTGTGGACCTTGGGATTTTATTTGTTTGGAGACCTCTTTTCTGTCAGTCTCCTTCCTCTGATCCCTCAAAAGTTCTTCCTGCCCTTATCCTTACAATCCTCCCAAAGGGCTTTGCTGATCTCTGCACTTCTTGCCTCGGGCACTCACTCCCTCAGCACCACCCTTTGTACACACACCAGTGACCAAAGTGTGTCCAGTGATCTCACAGAAGACATCAAAAATGGTGCATGCACCGTGATTGTGCTCACAGAGACACGTGCACAAGGATTCTGCACCCTTGGCCTTAACCTCAGTATGACTTAAGGTGCAGAAACATTTTTAACAGGTTTTAAAAAAAATAATACCCTTCTGGGAGGGGGAAAAAAGCAGACACAAGAGCTCAGCTGTGCCAGCTTCTAACTCTCCACTATTTGCTTACAACTTCCAATTCTGTGCCCACCCCACCTCATCCCTGTTTTGAGTAACCAAAAACAGACAAAAGCAACCTGAGGAGAGATTTCTGGATTATTTTGTCTTTCTCCATTTAGATGGAGATATAAATGCTGCTTTGGGTTCCATAATCCTAGGGGGCTATGTTTACAGAGTAAAATACATCCTACCAAATCAGGAAACTGAAAAATGGAACCTCTGCAGTGAGAGTTAGGTCACACTGATGGTGAACAAGAGAAGCAAGTGGACTTGGGGGCAGGGAGGAGGAGAGACGGAGAAGTCCCATTTCAATGACTTGTGACATGTCGCTCCCTTCCTCCGTTCTCCTCCCTTCACTTCTCTCCTTGCCCCCTTTGAACAGAAGGTGCAGAGAAGGGCATCAGAAAGAGCCTAGAGTTTTAAAAGGCAGCTTTCCAACTTTGCACACAAACAGGTAACAGGAAGGTACAGTAAAAATCCTCTCATCTGAAACACTGTCAGCAGAAACAAAACCTGTAAACATGACTGAATAGCTGCACAACGTTGATGCTCTCTGCAGGTTACCTAGAAGTGTTTTGTTTTTCTTATACTTGAAATAGCTTTTACAATATTATTTTTTGGTGGCTTTCTTTCCTCTCTTCCGGTGGGCAATAGAGAAAGTGGATGATGGGATTCAAGGAAGTTTGAGAGGAGAAAAGGAAGGATATGGCATTGTCTTTTTATTTTTTTCTTTAACATAGAGGTTCAATTAAACTCCCATATGTTGAAATTGCTCCTCATATTACTGGTTTTACATGGACACAGAAACTAGGCACTTTAGAGGTGCACTTGCATGGCAGGCTGGGCCCCCCTTTTCTATATTTTATTTTACTTTTTTAGTATAGTGGTACTTAAAATCACTGGTTCACTTAAAAAAAAAAACAATAAAATGTTAAACTCTACTAATGTACAAATAAGCTGAAAAGTTGCATTTTATGTGTATTTTTTGCCATAGCAGGTACTGTATTTCTCATGCTGGATTTCAAAAAAAAACAAAATCAAAAAAAAAAACAAAAACACACAAAAAAAAACCAACTAAAGGGTGGTGTTTTATTGGATTGTGACAGGTTGAGTAATAAGGAATTAAGTCTTCGTCATTTCATTAAAACTGAGAGATGATGTAATGCATATGTAAGAGTTTTCTGAAGGGTTTTTTTTGGGGGGGCTTTTAAACAGCTTATTTTTGTTTTTGTTTAGTTTTTTATTTTATTTTATTTTGGAAAGATATGATTGTATTATGTGCAACTCAGTTGCTTACATTATAACTACAAAATATTTTTGGGTTCCTGGAAAAAAAAAGAAAAAAGACTAATAAATGTGTTTGGCTGCTAAGCATTTATTGAGGTTTCCTGTTTTATTCTGCCAATTTAATTTGCTCATTTGTTGAATGTTTATATTTTTTCTACTCTTCTTTCTGCCCCTGCTCCACACCTAAAAGCTATCCAAAACTCAGCATCTGAATTGGGCCTCAACTTTGTCTATCTTGCCTTGGTATGTTTCTGTTGGGGTTGGCAGGTTGGCCGGTTGGTGGTGAGTTTCTACTCCTTGCTCTTACTGCCTGCCACAGTTCAAATTCTATAAAAGAAATTGATGTTGTCCTTCTGCCTTTTGTTGTTGTCTTGTTTAATCCTTACTTGCGTTTGGAGTGAGAGCACTAGAGTAGAGGAAAGAAGAGAGAAGACTCCTGCCCAGGGCTCTGCTGCTCCCACCTCTGCTGCTCCCAGGGAAGGAACCAGCCAGCTTTGTCCAGAAGACACCACCCGGTGCTCCCTGCCGCGCTTGGAGTGATGCCAAGGAGCTTAGAGCCTTCCCCTAAAGGCGAGGTTTTCCCCAGCTAAACAGCTTATTTATTATTACCTGCTAAAATAGAGACTTGTTGAAACGTGATTATGAAATACCTCTAGAATGGCAAAGAGGAGGAAGGGAGGGAAACTAATACTAACTCTTAGGTATTACTGTGTTTGACTTAATTCTCAGAGGGCTGTATGAACGGATAGCAAACCCATTTCATGAGGAATCTACGGCTCACAGTAATTAGCTGATAATAGGTAATACCAATCACCTACTATAAGCTGGCACTCTAAGCACACCTTATATTTTCACTCATTTAATTGAAACGTGTCTCAGCCACTGGTGAAACCATACTAGGAACCCAGGTAGGATTCCAAAGTTACCATGCCAAAATGCCTCTGCTGCAGAACCCCTGGGTGTCTGAGAAAATGGTCTTAAAACAAGCCTGTTGTACATAAGCCATCTGCCACTCAATTCTTTTACCATAAAATAAGTAAACACTGGAAAATCAGAACTGAAAAGAGGTGAGCTCTTCAAAAACATCTTGAGAAACAGTATATTACAAGTAAGTGTCTTTATTTTATTTGTTTAAGAAATAGAGGTCATTGCAGAAATTACGAAGACCTTTATCAACAGATTTGGGATATTTTAAACATGCATCAAT